AGATAGTCATGGCAGGATAGTTACATGTCATTTGACGAACAACTAACCTAGATGGTAGTTTGTGTCTTTCCGTGATAGCAATTCGCAAGCTGTGGTTATGACAATCATGATAAGGACCCAGACCTAATTCTCCGCGACACATCCCGTTTGCTTTCATTGTAGGAATGCGTTTGGTTTGTACCTCTGGTATAGGATATTATCAAATGCCGGAAACCTATCGCGCATTTTCTGGTTTTTATTTATGCCAAAAAGATAATCCGAGATTGCAGATCCGGCAGGGTTCCGAAAAGTGGAGTCTTTCTGACCTTATGTCAACAATAGATGACCTTAACCTATCAAATCGCCCCTTTCTGGTAAAAGCTTGGTCACCCTAGAAGGTATTAGAATGCTATTTTTTAACTAGACTAATCAGATTATCATTATTGGAGACTGTACAAATCTAGTAATCATGAATCATGATGAGTTAAGTCCCTAAGGGGGTTATTCGACTAATTCTTACCTGGAATGCCTCAAAGAGGGCTTCCTTCTAACCTATGAGTCTGGCATAATATCCTAGCAAGATAACACCAGAATCTGTACATCTTACCAAGGCGCAGGAGTAGTTTGAATCTTATAGAATTTAAGGTCATAGAATGGCCTCTGCATTCGCCTGATTTAAACCTAATTAAGCAGCTCTAGAATCTCCTAAAGAAGAAGCATTTAGAGCTCTACCCTAATCTCTTTTTAGGAGGCAGATCCGCGATAGATTGAAGGTGATTTTATAAACCTATTATAGAGGCATTTGATGCTATCCCTCAGGTGATTAACCATCTGATTTGCTTGAGGCCATGTAGATTACGTGCAGGTTACCAGGTAAAAGGTTGTTACACTAAATACTAATAGCTACTATCCCTTAGTTACTCTTATGTACTATAATATTTTATCCCGCAGCTTGAGAAAGAGTTAGATGTCGAGTTTGTACTTCGGGTTCCGAAGCCGACCACCCCTGAAGGTCTCGAGTATGAATCATACAGTACAGAGAAGACAGTCACGCAACTGAAAGAAAAGGCGGAAGAAGAGGCCGATCCAGAGAAGAAGGCAAAGCTCCAGGCGCAAGCTGACGGTCTGGCAGCCGAGATACAGAAGCTCGTTACAAAGATGCGTTCGCCAAAATATAAAGAGCAAGTTAAGAAGGATAAGGCGCTTGATACGTTCAAGAGACACCAGGCTGACTGCCCAAGCGAAGGACACCTTGAAACAATTAGAAAAAATAGAAAAGCGTGGAAAATGCTGAGAGTCTGGATGGCAGTAGATCGGTGTGACAGTCCCTGTAGAATGCATGTATATAGGAGCCTTTCATTGTTTCTTCTCAGAGTAAAAGAGTTTTGACAGTTCAGACGGAATTTAAGACTTTATGGACTGGCTACTCACGTGCCAAGGTGTGGCTTTTCAACTTCTTTCTCCTTCTCTTTTCTCATTTTCTCTCTTTGCATCCAACCAACAGCTCATCCAACTGTTGCTAGCATCACAGAATTAAGAATTCGAACAAAACTCCGATGGAAGGACTAGCATGTCGGATCCAGAGATTAATCTCCAATTGTCCTGTGATTACGGATTCAATTGTGGATGAGCGAAATCTAATTACAGACGGTTACGGCCATCCACCCGTTGCTTGCCACGCCTCGTCGGGCTCCACCCGAAGAGAATATTAATTTCCAGGTGCCCTCATGGCCCCCTTATCAACCCTCGCGCCTCACATCTTGATAGATTTTTGTTGAGTCGCCCCTCACAAATCTCCTCTCTCAGCTGCCTTCAGTAAAGTGATCTGCATGATGAGTGACGAGGTCGAGTTCAACAATACAGGCAATGGACCCTTGATGGTGCCAGGATTCAATGGAGTTCCCTTTGATGTCCTAACATCATCACACAGAGTGTTTATAGGCTCTGATCGACATAGCTGGTTTCCGTCGCCTTTCACCGCCCGCGAACTGGACATGCTGAGGCTGATGAACTCCTTGACTGATCGACCGGGCTGGGAGGAGCTGGTCTTTGATGCTTCGACCATGCAGACTTGGCGAAGCGAGGCCATGGCGCAATTTCCATTGATCAGCCCCAAGGCATGGGAATGGTGCGTGGCTGAGCTGCGTGACAAAGCGCAGCGATGGCAGGAGACTGGTCTAATTGTGGTTCTGAACGCTGCCAGTGGCGTGTGTAAGTCAAACAACGTCATTCCTCCTGCAGTGACCGCGGAGATCCAGGACTTCGTCACTTCCGCATTGAAGGAACGTGCCGGGCAGATGGACTGGGAACCGAGTTCAAACCAGCAGGTTTGGAACCTGATTGACCCCTTGCTGTACCCGCTGACTCGCGAACGCACGAGAGTGCTGATCAGTGGCGGCAGTGTTCCGCTTGAGCAGACTTTGGACGCTTATGGGCAAGGGGAGGCACCGCCGCCGCTCCATGATGACAAAAAGGACTGGGAAATTGAAAAATACCTCTACTCACTGCGCTATCAATGGCTGCCTTGCGAAGTTGAATTCCGTGGGCCGGCTGGATCGACAGAAGTGTGGATTACTTCCTACATCAACAATCTTCACCCCCGTGAGCAGCGGCCATTCTACAGGACGCTGGAAGGTGTGATATCCAAAGTCATTGAGCCATGGAATGAGGTTCTGATTAGGTTTGGGGATGTGTGGTCCCGAGACTCTGTCGGTCGGGAGCCCATGCGAATCCGCACATTCGGGGTCGCGTGGGATAATGGTTATCCTCAATGGGCCGAGGAGCTCCCGACCACGCTGGACGTCGATAGGTCAACTGAAGGTTACCGGCAGGCGCTCGCTCGCGTCAAGGAGTACCTCTCTTTACCAGAGTATGGAGTAAAGGTTCAATGGTGGTTCAATACAACACGCGAAATTCCCGCAGACTGGGAGGCAACATTATCCTTGCGTGAAGTTGTGAATATCAAATACAGTCGCATGTTTCGGTTTCAGCACTCCGAGCCTGGCACCACCTATTCCTACGAAGACTGGAAGGCAGGACGAACGGCCCGAGCAATCGTCGGTCGTGAGGATTACGACAACTTTGATCCCTCCACGAAACTCTGGCGCGACCGCGACGAAATCATGGATCCAATGCTCCATAATGAGATGTACAGAGCAAAAGATGAGATCGATCATCAGTTCCAGACCGTGAAACTCCAGGACGAGTTCCGCGAAAAGGGGCTACAGATTATCGTCAAGCTGGGCGGCATTGAGCTCACTCCCGATAATGCGTCCTTCTTGGGCGAGGACTGGCACGCAGACGGTCTCCTGAACGAGCATATCGCGGGGGTAGCCATGTATTGCTTTGATCTTGAAAACGTGACAAATACCCGCATCTCCTTCGCTCAAGAGATTTCCATGCATGGCGAGGAGTTCTCGTTTGACTTGGATGGTTGGGACATTCCGTACCTGGAAGAATTGTTCGGTGTTCAGAATGAGAGACCAGCGTTTCAGGAACTCGGGTCTGTGTCCATACGTCAAGGGGGTCTGATCGCTTTTCCAAACTGCCTACGCCACCGCCTCGAATCGTTTGAATTGGTGGACAAAGCTCGGCCTGGACGCTGTCGCTTTTTGACCCTGTGGCTCGTTGATCCTTCCTACCGCATCTGTTCGACGCGAAATGTGCCCCCACAGCGTCTCGATTGGTGGGAACAGGAAGCACGATCCCATCTATCGTCAGCCCATCCACTTCCCCAAGAATTGGCGGATCAAATCATTGCCGAGACTGGTCCGTGGCTTATGGACTTACCAGAGGCTCAGCACCACCGGCGTGAACGAGCCAAGGACGAGGCGGTGGCTTATGAGAAGGACAAGGAGCAGATTGAGTATAACACTATATGCCTTGTGAAGGAATGAAGCTACCTTGACTACATTAGCCATAAATGAAACTAATAAAAGTTTATAAATAGGATTATTGAGAGCCTGTGCACACATATGGTTCTTTCCAATCAGAATACATGAGAAAGGTCGCTGACCTGCGCAAAGTATAGTCACCTGCTGTGGCACAGAGGCTGAAAGATCCGATAACCTCAGTTCATGGAGACAGCACCTGTCAGAGTCAGACGTAAGCAGGCTCCCCATTCCCGATTCTAACCCTGTCTGCCTGAGCAATAGAGCATACAAAAAGGAATACTTTCCTTTCAAGCATCTTCTATATCAATAGCTTAATCGCATACAGACTTGTAGTTCCTTTATTACTTATACTCTACTAGAGAAGCTCAGTATTCATACAAGGAGCCTATCTCGTAGGTCTCATCCAGGCTAGGAAAATAAGTAGTACTCATAGTCCTAGCATAAGCTCCAAGAATTACTCAGAATCACTCTTCTATTCCTATTCATCTATAAATCAGCAGGGGGTTTAATGCACTCTCCATCTTTATAATCTTATCGTAAGCATGATGTATGCTAAAACAAGCAACATTTATAAATAGAGTAGTTAATAACCCAATGATAGCTTTCTATCAGAAAACCCCGGTAATGCATGGTGAAATAATAGTTACAGATATGCAGCTGTCACATTGTCTACTGTAGTCGAGTTAACAGAGGATAACTGAAGCTGCATTCAGCTGAAGTCCAAACTCAGGATGTGATGGGCAGGATATCCTGCACGAGGCTTGAGATGATTGATTTCTGCATGTTGCAGTTGAAAGCATGTATTTCATAGTCGAATACGTATCCTGGGTACTGCGACTGCGGAGAAGCTGATATGGCCAACCCGAGCTGCTTGCGCAGCAGTGTCATGGAGATTCATTGCTAGAAAAGATCCAAACGCCAGTATGCACATCACGGATCACCGGAGATTCCCATGCAAAAATCAAGACAAAACGAAACACAGTAGATCCGAGGAGACCAGAATACCCAGGTTTCCCACCTCTAGATCACGGAAATCACCAATATAAACGCGCATAGGGGCTATATGACATAGAATTAACAACAAAAGACAGAAACAGAACGCTCAAGGGGTATATTTCGATGCGTACATCATAACCAGATATCACCTTCTTCGCCATTTACCCATCGTTTCCAGACTTGATCATAAGCATTCTCTAAATCACGAACCCAGCGTTTGGTATCAAAAAGACGGCTCCCCATTCTCTCCTCAAACAGCATCCGGCGGAGGTCGAATAGCCGGCCTCGCGCTCGACCGCCACACCCTGGTGTGTACTGGAGACTGAGACAAAGGCGGATGGCCTTGTCCTCGTAGTCTTCGTCGGATACTGCCGTCAACTCATCACGGGCCTGGCGGCCAGCGTCAGAGTCCGGCAGCGCGCTGCTAAGGATGCTGCTCGCCATCCGAGAACACATTTTGTACTTGTAGCGGGGATATGTGAGCAGTGGTGTGCCACTCCACAACACGTCCGTCGCAGTCGTGTGCGCATTACACTCCGGCGTGTCTAGGAACAGGTCCAGGATCTTCGCCCGAGCGATGTGAGCGTTCTTCGGAGCAACATCCGTAAAAATAATCCGGGATGCTGTCTCCCGCCCAGCCCACGCGATGGCTGTCTCCCGGAGGTTCTGTTCACCCAGGTCCGGGAAGCGAAGCAGCCACAGAACGGCGTTGGGAATGCGCCCCAATATACGAAGCCATGTACGGAACGTTGTTGGCTCAATCTAATGAAAAGGGCTTAGCATACTCAAATCACACATAATCATAAAGACAATACTCACCTTGTACAGTTGGTTGAAATTGCCGAGGATGATCGTGTCATCGCTGAGATTTGGGAACAGTTCCTTCCGCATTCGCCATCGCCGCTCCTGCTCCTGTTCCCAGGTGATGAGCGCATCTTTCGCGTCGGGAGCGCTTTGCCGATGATCGCAGCAGAAGAATGTATCGCGAGTATAGACAATCTTCTCGCCATACACCCAGTCCTCGAGCTCCTCGCCGTAATCCTGCTCCAAGAGTCGATCCTCAATGCGAGCGTTACGCCTTCCTGGGCCAAGCGTATCGACAGGAATGGAGATCTCATCTGCAAGAATATAATCACACCACTCGGCGCCCAGTGTCCCTGCAAAACCCATGAAAGACATATGAATTGGGGCAGGTCGTGCAGCAAACACCTCGTTGCGTGCTCCCCGTGTGTAGCCGTTGAGATTGATAAGGATGTGAATCCCGTCGTCAACAATCTGCTTCACAAGTCTCTCGACGGGCCAACAGCTGGCGTCGTGGAACACGGGTGCTTCCTTCTCGATCTGCTGACGATGCACGGATTTGTCGCTTGCAGTGGTTGCGTAGCAGTATGCCTTAACTCTGGACGGGTTGTGCAACCCAAAGACAGACTGCATCAAATGCGCTAGGGGGTGATTATTGAAGTCCGACGACACATACCCAACCTTCAGATAGGGATTTGGAGGCGGCGGTGGTGGATAAACTGTAACTGGTAGCCACGGAGAACGTAGGGTCGAGCACGAGATTCGAAGTCCATTCCTTTGAGAAATCTGACGGATTTGCTTCGCAGAAAGCGGACAGGTGAATGTGTGAAAGGGAAGAACCGTTGGCGCATTGGGCGCTGCGAGCCCCGGTGGGAGTTGCGGCCGTTGATATTTGGTTAGCGGGTATTCTTTGCCGTAGATATAGCGGTCCTGGTACCACTGCCAGGTGATCGAACGATTTGCACGCTCGATCAATTTGACGATCCGCGAGCCCTCCCACCTTTGTCCAGCCCAAGACTGCAGTATGGCGGCCAAAGACCCAGAGGCCGAGCGGCGACTCTCCAAGGCCGGGGCGATCTGGATGCAGAGTTGCTCTACCGTGTTAGGCGACAGTAGACCACGACCCCACGACTCCCCCTCCTTGAGCTGTCGATTGACGATATCAACGACGCGCTGTATCCAGCCAGTACCGGTCTCGCTAGTGGATGCATCACGGAGCATTCCTTGCTCAGTGACATGCCATCGGTCGCGGAAACCATACCCATTGGCAATGCCTCCACGTCCGACCCAGTTGCAGACGGAGTTCAAGGCATTTGCCAGTCCGCATACTGCTTCCGCGAATTCAGGGTTCACTTTGACGGCACGCTTGTAGTAGGCAATCGCATCGTTGACTCGACCTGCATCTTTGACGGCATTTGCCAGATTGGCCAAGGCAATATCAAAGTTACCATCACAGTGAACCGCTTGCTCGTACATCCGGATGGCGGCCTGGAGCTGCCCGATGTCTTTAAGCAGGCTACCCAGATTGGTATAAAGATGCGCGTGCCGCGAATCGAGATGCAATCCGTAATTGTAATACGCTAGTGCTAATGAAATCCCACTTCCGGGGACCACTCCAGGAACCTCAGGGTGTTGTGCTTCCCCGCTAGAACGAGGGAGGCCCTTGCCGGCGGCATTGTTCTGGATTCCAGCAAGCAAGATTCCAACGTTGTTGGCAGTCGAGGGACTCGGTTGGAGGGACAGGGAGAGGTAATAGAGTGCCAAGATGTCTCGAACTCCAGGAGATTTCTTAGGAATGCCCGAACCGGAAATATTGGACATGCCGTCCTGATAGATCTTTGCCAAGGAAAGCAGTGAGTTGCTCGTGGTCGACAAGGCCGCTTTTCTTGCGAGGCCTTCGGCCACAGACTTGATCCCGGGGGGAGTTCCGCAAGGTGCAAAGACTAGCTTCGAAGTCTGTAAGGCCTTATCAGGATAAAGAAGAATGGTCTCCTGGCTCTCGTGAGAGTTCAAGGGCGAGTAAGCCTGATGAGAACCCTGGGAGAAGGCGGTATATATCTGTTTAATCAGACTTTGAATGCCATGGCGTCGTCTCCCTGCCGCAATCAAGACAGCATCCTCAAAGGCCGCCGCGGCACCAGCATTATCGCCCAATGCGTAGAGCATGTTGCCCTTCGCATGAACGAGTGCAAGCATTCTGCCATTGTCACAACCTGGTATAGCGTAGCCGCTGGAGCCAAAGCCAACTGCGCTAGCTTCAGATGGCTTCCGGTCACCGATCAGCGAGCGGCCGAAGTCATCGTCGTAGTCGAACGATGCCTTCTCATAAGATCCAACACTTGAAGCGCCGCTATCCGCATCACTCTCCGTTTCGCTCGCATGTTCATCCGTGGTAAAACAATCGCCATTCTTGGGGAAGCGTAGGGAATTCTGCACATAATCGATGATGTTCACTGCTTCTTTACCACGATGGCTGCTACAAAGGAGACCGATGAGATGCTCCACAGCCTCGAAGAAACTGGGACGGAGCTTCACAGCACGAAGCCAATGTTGTAGCGCCTCCTCCCGACGATCAAGCGCAAGCAGCGTTGCTGCGAGATTTGATATCGCCTCCACATGCCTAAATGCAGTCAGCACATATACACAACAGCCTGGGCAGCCTGTACTTACGTTGCGTCCCTCGCGATAATCCTGGAATACCACCTCATAGCTTTGTGATAGTCGCCAAGTCCATAGGCAAGACAGCCGCCAAGCAGCATCCCATCAATCCACTCCCAACCACTCTCCATGCAGAGATGCGAGAGCATTTCGAGGGCGGACATGGCATTTGCTGTGGTCGATTTCTCCCCTGTTGCAGAAAAGGAGAAACGGGGAGCCGGTCCTGGAACTGCAACTCTGCCAGTATGCCGCAATCTGTCCAGCATTTGTGAATCTGACGTTGCGTACTGTTGAAAGTGGCTCATAGAAGGACGGCGATTATGCTGGAAAGTAGCCGTGGTGTCCACTGGCCTTGAATACCCAAGAATATTAGTCTTCTGATGGCGCCCATCATATTGGCTTGAGGGGTAGCTATTATGGCGATGGATTTCAGGACTATTCGACTGAGAAAAATCCAAGCCTGGCTGTCGTGGAGGTTTGGGATATATGCTTGGTTTCAAGCGCAGGGGCTGCCCGCCGCTGCCGGCCTGGGAGATGCTGTTTCGACGAGCTTGATGGATGGACGCGAGGAGATCAACATATACACCATGCGCCCACGATAGTATCTTCTCCTTAAATTCAACATTTGCAGCGCGTGAGTGAGCAGTTGTGAAAGAGCTGGGCAACCCCGGCCCGTTGGACCCAGGCAGCAAGGAGAAGGATTCTCCGCCTTGCTGATTTGTTGAAAACCCAGTGCTAGGATTAGTACGGATGTGCAACGGGAGAACGCGGTGGTTCAGAGAAGAATCCAGAGATTTCTGTTCGGAATGACGGGGAGGGAAGTTGCCTTTCACTGCGGTACCGTGGCTGAGAATCCCTGGAGGTGCGGTGTTCCAACCGCCCGCCTCACCATTGCTGCCTGGGAGGGCCGTATTTGCGTTATTGAATGACTGCTCTGCGGCATCGAAAAAGGGGAGGCCGGTCTGGTTCAAATGGTTGAAGCGCGTATCTCGAAATGCCGCTGGACGGTATGGAATGTAGACACCGTCAGGCCAGTAGGGGCCATACGGGCCGCTACCCGCCGACGCTGTCGGGCCGAGACAAGGCTGGAGCGTTGCTGGCAAGACAGTAGGCACATAAGCCCCATTCTGCACGTAGAATCTCTGCTGCGCTGATTGCATGGGTAGCGATTGATTGAGCATTGAGTCAGCCCCAGGCACATAATTCAGAGAGCGAACCCAGCCCGTTCCATTGACATCCGTTACCATGTCTCCCGGTCCTACATTGCCCCGGCTCGCATCGTTTTTGAAAATAGGAGGGAAAACCATGTGTTTAGCTGCTGAGGACTGGTCGAGCGACACTTGTTGCCAGTTGTCCGAAAGAAACCCCGCCTGAGGAGGGACAAGGTGACCAGAATCCAGAGGTGAGACTAGTATGTGTTTCGTAGCCGGCGGCTGAATCGTAGTATCTCCGGGGGTTCCATCGTAGCCCGCTGCTAAGGTTCCATTCGGTGTCTTCCTCCTAAGCGCATGTTCAGCGGCATGTTTGGGACTGGGTTGCGGACTGGCGGTATCATGAAGTCCAAAACGTTGAACAGGATGCGGGTACTGTAATCGGGTCCGCGAGAGCAACTGGGAGTGATCCCTATTGATATCACCGCGAGGAAGTGACGGAGCAAAGGACGTGGAATTAGAGTCGTAAGGTGGAGTAGCGGTGTCGGCGGTGTAGAAGGGTGGGAAGTGGTGATGCGGTTGTACCGACGGGAAAGATGCCACCGAGGGCAACATGGTTACCTCGACTTATCGAAGAGGGGGAAAAGAGGAAGGTTTCGACGGAAAAAAGTATGAGAAAACAACGATAGAAAAAGAGAAGTCGGTAGGAATCTGAGCAGTAGAGAAGGAGAGTTAACAGTCGCAGAGGTTGAGAGCGGTCACAAAAAGTTGACACACGCACGTTCACTCCTGCTGGATTGATCAACTAGCAACCTCCTTGAAGCGTTTCCTACACCTCATCCTGGGCGTAAGCCGGTCCACTTGAACACTCAGCAAAGACCCCCACTGTTTGTCTCCGAGATCGACATGGAAGCTGTTGATAGGCGATGATGACGATGATCTGATATCGGGCAGGGCGGCCAAGGAGCGTGGAGGAATGATCAGAGAGGAAGGATGTCTGATCGACGCTAGCATTCACGAAGACGAGTCGCTCGGGTCCAGCGACGGAGAGGATGGCGATTAAATCGGATGTGGCTAGGTGCTATGTGGCCGTGAAGAACAAACGCAAGGGAGGAAAGCGACTTAAGAAAGAGTCACAGCCCTAGTCAGCTTCCCGAAAGCACCCACACTGACGCAGGTGTCCGTGAGACGCGATCGACACCGACTGGAGAAGGACAAAGCCGTGATTGATCTTGGCAAAAATGCTGAGTCGGCGCGAAAGAATTGTGTGTGGAGGAAATTAAAAAGGGATGAAAAGAAATTAAGAGACGAGTCCGCGGTAGTAGCAGGACGAAGGATGAACGACAACTAAATGAGGATGAAAAAACCAGAAGCTTTATTGTCAGAGATGAGCATTAACATCCGGCGATGTGTGTCCTCCTTCCCCTCTATTCTTTCCATAAGATTTATTCACGGGCGCAACTTTCACCAATCGAGAAGCGGAAGCAGGGGAGAGCGGGCGCGGAAGCGAGGATTCAACGGCTGGCGGACAGATGATGTTGAGAGAGTACGGAGTACGGAGAAGGTTGGAGGGCGGGAAGAAGAGGAACTTTGAAACTAGGCAGAGAAACAAAAAAGTCTGGGGTAAGCAAAAGAAAGAAAGAGGAAAGAAACGGGACAAGGACGGGAAACACGCCCGTCAAATGCGCGCAGATCCAAGAGAAGCGAAGGACAAAGAAAAAAGTGCGAAAGAACCTTAAAGATGCAGGAGGATAATCATCGACTATGGTAGTTAACCGTGGAGATGGCGATGATAGTCTACTGGAGTCTGGAGTCCACTAGTACGATGGAGCTACTGCTACTACGGAGTATCAGAATCAGGATCACTTTATTATGGACCCAGAACTAGGGCGGAGCTTCAAACGAAAACAGTGGCTACCGTACCGGCCTAGAGACTATCTAATAGTAAGTAATTGATGTGTCCGCGTATCTGTGGCCTGCGACCACTCTATCATCAGCTTAGCAATCTCCCTGTGCGAACTACATAGGTACTTATGTTTAAAATGACTTATCACCACGATCAAGTCACTGCTTTGGAGCAGCGGAGTCTAGATGTTTATTAGATAGATAGTCTGGAAAGGTGGATGGTGATGCTGTGATATGGCGAATGGGGCAGCGGAAGTGGAGCCAACGCAAGAGGGAATTCCTGAGTTGGGAGATGAGCTTTAGGCGCTGCATTACAGTACCCGCACTGCTATAGTAGTCTTCTAAGTATCATTTCGTATACGGATACTTTTGTTCTGATACTAGACACAAGAGCAGTTCTTCTTATTTCTCATGACAATCTCTCCAGCATCAGAGGTAGGTACCTATGTTTGTAATAATTTAGAGGAAAAAGGATGAAAAAGAGCGACAAAAATGAAAGCATCCCAAGTGGACCCACCTTTCTGCGATCCAACGGCCCTTGAGCGCTAGACAGAGGCAGTCCCGGCCTGTTCAACGTCAGTGGACCACCGCCCAGCCGACCCCCGGCCAAGTGGCGCCCGCTGGGATCAAGCCTTGGGAGCATTCTGTTGGCCCGTTGGTCAGCGGAAGGGCGATCTGGCACTTTCTGTGGGCTTGCAGTGGAGACAGAGGAAGCTGATGGTTGCAACCTGGCCTCTGCTTGACGCTTGTATATTCATCGCCACTACTGTGTTGGCATGTGGTATGTACATTGGTACATGGTGATGGGTTGGGTCATCATCTCAAGTCTGGAGAGTATAGATCTCGGTCAAAATTATACCAAGTGTCTGGAAGAAAGGAGAAAGCAGAAACATGAGACGAGGCTAAGATTCCAGCGGCTGATGGCGCCTCATCTGGCTGGTCCCCTCCCTGCAGCCACAAACCGCACAAACCGCATCTAGAGGCTGAGAGACGCACATGCCATCGCCGTAGAAGTCAAATAATGAGACATACGAAGGCCTTCCAAGGAGTATGGGGGATCAGCATTATTACCTTTTCACCAATGCTGACACCACCATAAGAATAGACTATCTAGTTGGCATAGTTCTTTTTATTATTCCTCTTTTTTACCTTTTATTCTTTTCTAATTTATTTTATTGAGCACAATCCCTGCAATATAATACCCAACTGTAATTGCCGCATTTCCCAGCTCATTCCTGGCGATCATACAGGTGCAAAATTAATAATATAATAAGAATATTGATAATAGATTATGATCAATAGGAAGAGCGTGTCGCAACGCATGCTATGGTTTTGCTTGGAGGACAAAAAGCCCCAATTTCCGACCCTGCCCACCGGTCCAACTCAAAACCGCATACCAGGTGGAGCGGCTGCAGCCCCATCCCATGTCCCTAAATTGCCCACTATCCAATAGTCGAAGGCTGCGGATGGGGATAGATTCTCACCTGACTTGAGTCTTTTGACAGAAATAATCAAAGAGACAAACGGAAAAGGCGACGAAAAAGACCAAAAAGCTGCCCAGAGCAGGGACTATCTAAAAGGATGGAGCAGCCCCGCTGGCAGGAACAGTGGCAGACCATCTAATGCAGTGATCAACAATGTCACAAGTATCGACAATCAGACCAGTCAGCAACCTCAGCTGCATCGATATGATAAAAAAGGGCAAAAAACTACTAAATCTACCACTACACAAGCTTCAAGGTTCTCCAGTCATTCTCACCGTCATCTCATCAGTTAGTTTCTTTGATCCTTCACCGTTGCTCTTCCAGAATCAAGATAAATATGCATCAACCCCACTGCTACATTCCCACCCACCCCTGGAATGTCACTCGCAAGCTGAAAGGTTCTTCTAAACTTTTGTGTAACTGCTTGGCATTATATATTCTCAGCTCCATACGGATACTCCGTAGATAGACTGGACAGGCTCCACACTATTGATGTTGTGCTCCTTGAGACAACAATCGCATCTTGATTTAAGACAACTTATGACTGTAAGAGTCTTCATTGGGAGCACATTTATTGTAATGGACACTCTCCCATCAGTGAGGTGAGATGGGTAGGAAGGCATTCATGCATCTCGAAGCGCACGCAGTCTTTGTCTTTGCAGCGATCGTCGAGACGTACTATGTAGCTCTGTGGGGATAAAGGGAGATCGAGACCAAGCATCCTACTCGGTGTATGGGTTGTGACGACAGAAACTATCGTCATTTCATCGTCTGATTCGGTCTTGCTAAAAACAAGCCTGGGAGTTCTGTATCTACCATTTCGAGAACTTACGAAGAGAACAAAATAGGTTGAAAGGAAAACTCATAGTGAATTGCAGCTCACAATCTAACTGAAGACTACATGCCAGGTACAACCTGGTTCTACGGCAGTGATGTTGACCCAAAAGATGGACCACTGTACCCACGGAGTGAAGCAAGCTCCCCTCCAAGGATACCGCGGTGAGTAGAGGGTCAAGTGTTGATCTTCTTTGCGTAAAATAAGCCTATACCACGTTGCGTGAGTTCAATCCAGGCCCGAAGGCGGGAAAGAACGGTAAGAGCCAGAGTGTTGCAAAGGTCATCTGAAGGGAGGCGACTTCATGATCCAGCTCGCATTTTGGAAAGCAAGCAAACCACGAGAAGCATAGAGCAGGAATGGAGAGAAGGGATGGACTGCCTAGCGAAAAAGCGTAGGATTTCTCGAATGAACATAATTGGGAATCTTAGGTCATAACTCGTAAAAAGTTCTTGTCCAGGGGAATGATCATATTTTCTGTAACTAGCATGTCGTTACAAACCGAATTGACGACCGCCGCACTTTTAGATCATTTATTCCTCAGGAACTAATTTCAACGTTAGTTAAATTCCACCAAAAGTGTACTGAACAGGACTTACCATCGATCTCGCCAGCCTTGACGTCGTCAGAGACATCCTTGGGGCTGCGGCCATCGACCTGGCAACCGACGGAGAAAGCGGTACCGAGGATCTCAAGAACGGTACCACGGAGCTCCTTGGCGAGAGAGCGGTGACGCATCTTGCGAGCAATCTCAACGATCTCGTCGAAGGGGATGGACTTGTTGTGCTTGATGTTCTTCTCCTTCTTGCGGTCACGGGGAGGCTCCTTGAGGGCCTTGATGACCAGAGAGGAAGCGGAAGGCACGACAGAGACCGTGGCCTGACGGTTCTGGATGGTGAGCTTGACAGTCACACGGAGACCCTTCTATAAAGTCGCAAAAATATCCATATTAGCAATCCGGCGACTCTTCGTCTTTCGATCCTTTTTGAACTCTTACCCAGTCACCAGTGTTCTTGGCAATATCTTCACCGATCTTCTTGGGGGACAGACCGAGAGGACCAATCTTGGGAGCCAGAGCGGACTGGGCTCCGACCTCACCACCAGTCACTCTCAGGTGACTATATAACGATTAGCTCTGTCGCTGCAGAATTTCGCGACCCGAAGACAAGATGAACTTACATGACCTTCACCTCATTGGGATCGAACTTGGGAGCTGACCAATGGGTGTTATGTTAGTCGCCATTTTGTTATAGCCAAGGAGATGATACTTACGCATGGCGAGTGCGAAAGGTCGTCAATCGTCCTTGGAGTGTTGGTCGGGGTGGATGGTACGAAGAAGCAAAATCGAAGTTTACAAAAATTCCCTTAAGAAGTTGAGGACATTTTAGCTTGGCCGCACCTCCGGCTAAGCGAAACCTCGAATGGGGAAAGCTCCTAGGGCTAACCCCACCATGGTCACATGACCTATGCCATACATAAGATGTCCTGCGATTCGAGGTCTTTACAGACGCTGTATGTAGATATCCTTGTCGATACCGTCTATCTTATTGGAATGATCATCATTGACTTACGCACTTGCTATATTGTGGGTAAAGAGCAGGAAAATAAAAACCAAGACAAAATCATCGCTAAAGATACAAGTGACCCGAGGACCGACGTCTAACCGCCCTTTTTCTCTCGCTATGGCCATCACCTCGTCATGTCTAGCTAGTTCCAGAAACCGCAAGCCTAGATTGGTGGGTTAGCATCATTCATGACATTTGTAAAACAGGTTGGGATAGCATACTTCATCAAATGATCCATGAACGTCTGCAACGAGACATCATCAGTGAAGATAGTCTGCGACGTTACGCCTCCACCGTAACCTCCTGTCGTATGTGTAGTAGAGGGGTTCAACTTGGACAAGAGGAAACGCGCTTGAGATCCGCCGGCGTCACAGACGATGAAACGAGGCAGTGGGAAGCGGTCAGCGATCAATTCCTATTCATGCAGTTAGCTTCTGCCTCGTATTATAACTGCAGTGGATGGACCAACCCTAGCGTCCTCCTTAGGCTGCTCCAAGAGAGCCTTCAGGTTTTCATAACCTTCCTGTTCCTGATAGCCTGCTTTCCTCCATTCTGCAATGGTCTCTCCGTGGAAGATTAGGATATGGAAGAAAGTGTCGAGGAGAAGGATGTGAGTGGGCTGGATTGAAGCCGAGTCGAGAAGAACAGGCTGGCTTCCCTCATGTTCCAGAGAATACGAATCCAGCGTGGGCTGAATCATTACAAGGGCGTCGCCAACATCCTCATGGTTTAGGACGTGTCTGTAGAAAGCTGTCTCGTCAGGCGAGTTGTTGAACACCTGCAAGAACTGGCTGCGACGGAGATGGAACATGAATTGGGGATAAAGCGTGAAGTTCTTTTCCAGGCGGAATGAGGTTGGGTCATCCTTCCGGTAGTCGGCGAAGCGAGAGCAGAGTCTGATGAGCATGCGATCAACCCATCTGATAACGTCTGGTCCATCGTCGACATCTGCCTTGTAGACAGCAATACGTGCCATCAGCACGGCAGCAGCCTCCTGATCAAAGGACTGTGCGAGGGTCGGGTCACCGGTTGGGCCACTCAAGGGGCGTGCGACAGTTGTGACTCGGAGATGATAATGACCAGAAGCGTGCTGGTAGTAGGTCAAGAATTGCATCATACCCCGCTGAGGGCCTGGTTGCACGGCTGCAGGACCGCCCTGGTTGGCAATCTCGAAGTACACGCCGTAGCTTGAGGACGGATCAATTCCGCACATTTTCCAGGCACAGGTGTTGCCAATACCACACTCTGTTTCTCCGACCGAACTTGACTTTTTGTTCAGAGAAACTGCATGACCGATAAGTCCAGTGACCTTGAGCTCCTTTGTAGTCAGGACTTCAAGAGAGGCGTTGAAGCCCATCAGGAGGTTATCGTTGACGTCCTTATCGAAAACCCGAACAAACGACTGCTTGAACTGTGACGACGTGAAGCTGTCTGTAAGGAGCATATGACCTCCAGTGAAGTTGGCCAGGTTCTTCATCTCCAGAAGACCGACTTGGTCCAGGCAGCCGGCAAAAATGTCGACAACATGTCCGTTGTTAGCCGCGCGCTTGGCCAGGGCGTCGTAGAACTAAATTGATCAGCAGGGGAGCAGCCGGTATGAGAAGACGACATGACGCCTACCTTGACAGCCTTCTTGTAGTACTTGATATTATCCCGATCGATATCGTGGTGGGAACGCATTGGCTCCTTCAGCTCAGGTCCAACGACGTGACCGGGGCCTTCAGTAGCGGGACCGCTGGTGAAAACCATAATGCGCCCACCAGCGTTCTGGAAGGATGTCTCGAGCAGGCCAACAGCAACACTAAGAGCCACACCAGTGCATCTGAGGGGTCGCTTGTCATTGGCCACGGGCCAAGGATCACGCTGCAGCTGTTCGAGGACATTGGTGATCTGGAACTCGGCTTGCTGAACTGGTAGCAGGAAGCGCGCAGCGGGACCAACAGGCGGGCGGGCTGGTTGCTGAGGCATGTTTGGACGAGGTCCAGCGGCGAGGAGTCCAAGCATCTCCTGGACCTGCTTCGCTGCATACTCCTTGCTGCCTCTGAAAACGTACGACTTCGCACATTCGGTATATCCAAGCTCGTGAACTTGGGCCTATACTCTTGAGGTTAATAGGTCATCCGAAACCAAAGAGGTATTCAGTTCGTACCATTGTGCCATAAGTGATCAATCCAACCAGAGCATTCGGCGGCAGCAAAGACAGGCTCAGAATCAGAGTATCCTTCAAAGCCTTCAGACTGTCTTCCTCTTGACAAGTATCGACGACGTAGACAAAGATAGGGGGAGCGGGAGCGGGGCGCGCCAATTGGTATTCGATCGTCGTGCTCTGAGGATGCAGTTCCGGGGGTATCGCATTCTCAGTGATATCCTTATAGTGAGGGGGAAGGGGATTGCGCATGAGGCAGAAAGGGCAAATCCAGATCCGGGCCCGAACATCGACGTTGCTGTCCTTCGTCAGTCACGCGCTGCAAGCTCAGAGCCGATAGGGGCGTAGGTCATACGCGTAGGGGTTCAGGACAGCCCGACAGGGTGCTTTGCAAGTCACCGGCTCATATTGTAGTAACGGCGAATCGGGCTTCTCCTTCAGGGGAGTGTAAACAGCGGCAATAGGGACAACAAGTCGGGACGCTTCCTGTATGCGAATGGGAATGAGTACGGAGGCGCATGGACGCGATGCAATCCCAGTAAACCAACCATGCGAGTGCTAGGAAACGTGTTCCAGCTGAGCCTGATGCCATCACGGTCTTCGACATCGCTCCATTGATCCTTCAGCGCTTCGTAGTCCATCGTGCGGTGATGGGGGGGTGGATGGGAGGGGGGTGTTTATCGATTGAGCCCAAAACTGCGGACCAAACAAGGAACTCTATGATCACTTCGACTATATAGTGAGAACAAATTTCTGTGGCATAATCTTATCTTCAAGTGACCGACGCCAACAGCTTTTGTCTGGGATCTAGATGCGGATCTGGGGGTGTATGTTGTGTGAAGCTGGTCCTGTTGGCATGAGGCCAGGTTGCAGCATCCTTGGTTGCTACCGACAGCCGTAGCGTGCACTAGCGCTCCGCCTTCACTGCTTTAAATACTTCCGGACTGCCCGCTTCCCGCAACTTTTTTTTCTTCTTCTTCTCATCAACAACCGCCGATAACATACATCAACAGCTTCTGTCTCTTGTCATGATGAAGCTGTTTTCGCGTCGCGCGAAGACTGACCTTACCCGACGCTGGGCACCTAGCTTTGAAAGGTCGTTCCGATCCTTTGCGATAATCTGGGAATCAGCTGTGGTTACAAATGACTTCGTACAATTTGCTCTTTAGAGCCCTAAACTATATACAGTAGTAATACGGACATCCCTGCACAGAGTACTTTGAGTGATTTGATACTTGGAATTCTCAACATATAAACTGGATGTTCCGTCCTGCAATTCCCATATCCAAAACGCCTAATGAGAAAAAGAACCTGGCCACAAAGATAGAAAACATAGCTTCGTGAAACCGTCTCTGCAACTCATGCATCCTTGGGAGGCTTCCCCATTTGTTTGAGGAGATAGCTGCGCTTGAAGTAGGTGTTTGGATGGACTATGGTGTCCAAATCTGTCTGACTCCAAGTACCGTCTTCCTTGACTCGCTTGATATCCGCTTTGTGCGCCCATTCAAAGACTCTGTTGCAAGCAATATGATAGCGTGTCTTTTCAACATCCTCGCGCACGCCTCGTAGGACGTCCTTGTCATGGACACCTGTGGACTGAAGTAGTCCGATGAGATTATCGACGGAGAAGTGACGGTAGGGGCACCCATGAGTCTGGCCAACTCCGGGGTTGGAGTCGTTGAGGATCTTTTGGCAAGAGTAAGGAGGGTAACCCCGGCCTCTTCGATTCACGTCACCGCCGACGTCACCATAAGCGTGGCGGATATTGTATTTGTACCGAGAATTAAACTCGTCGTCTGTAAAGCCTTTGAAGGACTGTCGCCAGAAAATGATACACTCTTCAAGAGACAGGCCGATTCCTTTCAGGAAGAGCGTATATTGAAGTCGACCGAAGTGCTTCAAGTGGTTGTTCTTGCGCAACGTCATGTGTAGACTTCGCATGCAGAGAGGGAAGTGCTGCGAAAGGCGATCGATGTTACTGGCAGTAATTGGTGCTCCTTCAACAAACCCTTCGCCTTCCGAGTATACTGATTCTGCGCTACCGAAGTTCTTCGACAGGTGATTCAGGATTGGTGTAAGACGATCATCCTCATCCAATCGTGGAAGAGCCCGGCTCGTGAGCTGGTAGTGGTCAGCCAACTCATAACACCCACGGTGCAGTGTAAAGGAGACTCATACCTCGAGGGCGCGCTCCAATCGCGCCGTGAATTCGGCTATGATCATACTCAATTGTTCTCTGCCAGGCACATATGCTTTCCCCTTGGACAGAAGCACAGCTCTCCTTTCCACAAGCTCTGGTACCCGCTCCCAGTCCACTTTGTACCAAGTCTCCTCATCAGCACGCCGCAGACCGTGTGTTGCGCTCACCAATTTCTCAGCAACCTCGCGTCTCTCCTCATCACTCACAGGTTCCCAATCCAAATTTAAGGACTCAATAAAGGCACGTTTCTCTCGCGAGTCATCTTGTTGAAACCGAAATCTGAACAGCATTGTCTCCGCCCGTACGAAGCGTCGGCGGAGGTCCTCGGTTGCCGAAAACGCAAGACGAAGGATGTAGTGGGAATA